TAGTCTAAAGGACATAATACACAAGTGAACACGGCTGAAAACAAGCCTGTCGTCAAAGAGGCCACCTAGGGTATGGAGAGAAAGAAGGAGGAGAAAAAAGAGGGCAAAGAAGGAGCCGAAGTTTGGTACCAGTTTTGCAAATACAATCCCAGACGCGAGAGCCACCGAATTCGACGCCGGAAATAATAAAATAAAAAGCGCCAGACCATGCGAATGAATCAGGAATGACCTGACCTGACCTAACCCAACCTGAAAAAAATGCAAAAAAAGAAGAAGAGAAACCCCGGCGTCGTCCGCCCTATACCACCTCCCAGTCCATGGCGTCGACCATGAATTCCCAGTCGTCTGAGTCCGTAGTCCAGTCGGCCATGCTCACGGGCTGGTCCCACGCCATCTGCGGGTTGCGCAGGCGCACGGAGTGGTCGGCGACGAAGTACGCCTGCTCGAGCCCCAGCAGGATGGTCTGCAGGATCTCGTGGAGGTTGTAGGCCTCGAGCGGCGCGGCCATGAAGCGGCGGGCCCCGGCCCCGGATCCGGCCCCGGGGTCGCCGTCGCCGTCGTCGGCGTGCTTCCAGCGGTTCCGGAGCTCCTTTGCGCGGGCGAGCTGCTTGCGCACCTCCGGCTGGCCCAGCGTCCCGTAGAGCGGGTTGTTCGAGTTGTCGAGCGCCAGGAGTACATTCTCGTGATACCTGTGCTTCTGGGACCGGTCGCGGAAGACGCCCTCGTTGCCATTGCCGTTGCCGTTGCCGTTGCTGACGCCGTAGCCGTTGCCGTTCGCGTCCGGCTGCGCGTAGATGACGATGCCAAAGACGCCCATCAGGTGGACGAGGGCTCGCTCGATGAGCATGTAGAACTCGTGGAAGTCGAGCTTGAAGTGGATCTCGTTGGCGTCGATCTCCTGCTGCGGCTTGCCAACCCGGTCCAGGGCGGCCCCGTAGCCGATTTCCAGGAACGGGATCTTCCATTTCAGGCGGGCTACTATCTTCAGAAACCGCGATAGCTCCTGCTCGGGCGACGAAGGCTGGTCGTTGTGAGAAGTCGTGCTGGAAGATGAGTTGGCGGCGATACGGCGCGGGTGCAAGGGGGCCATGCGTCGCGAGGACGAGGAGGACGATGATGATGATGTGAAAACCCCCGCGCCAGCGCCAGCGCCGGCACCGGCGCCGTTATTAGGATGAGGATGATGTTGAGGGGCGGAAGTAGGAGGAAGAGGCGGCGGACGTGGCCAGGACGTCACGCTTGGAAAGTCCGATGCCCAGCGAGACGCCGCCAGTCCTTTAGGCATGATGGAGGATTTATTTCTAATTGCTCGGCAAGGGTTTGACAGGACTCATGATATTTCTGCCACGGCAAGCAGAACTCGAGATGACGTCTTCCGAGGCGGAAAGGATCTGCAAATGCTAGGGGCAAGAGGGAATAGGCGTATGTGAAGTCGTGTTGATGCTGTAAATAGTTCCAAGGTTGTTGTTGATTAAGTCAAGACCCGAGCTCATTGTGTTATGCTATGCGCCAGGCCATACAACACAACATACAGGGTTGGGGTAGTCAATCATGTAGATGTGAAAAGTTAGAAGTAGTCGCTTCCCTGAACTAGGGAGGGAGGTAGCTACTCCTAGGGTTAATATGTATTCACTTCTTTCTCATGAACGTCGTCTTGTATTATTGACTCGTCGCTCCCAGGATCGGTGCCGCGAACTGTAATTTATGGGTTGATAAACAACCCCTATAAATTTACCATCTTAAGGTACCTAAGTAGGTACCTACTGCTGGGTAACTTGGGCCTACTGTAAGACAAGGCGGGGGATGTTGCTAAATTAGAAACCACTGCCATTAATTCAAGACTCTACGACCTTATCTTTTCTTTTCTATGTTTTTTTTTTAAAAAAAATACAAAAAGAAAAAGAAAACACTGTCCTTCAATTACTGCAAGCCCGGCGACCAGCTGGACAGCCACATGTGGTGGCGATGACGAATCATGCTCCAGGAAGACCAGAATCTATCGTATGACAACAGCATTGCTACATTCTTAACAAGGGGGTCGGTCCACAGCGCGTGCTCGATGGATAGAAAAATCTAGGATGCCATCAGCAAGTCTATACCAGAGCGTAACTCATCTCAATATGATGGTTCGCAAACAGGCTCGATTACTCTTTCCTATCCTAATCTCAGGATTGCATTCTTAAGTTGCGTGAACAAGGGCGAGGGTGAATGTGTGTCTCTGAGATGATCTTCGTGTAATTACAGCCTTTGCGGCGTGCACCTACGCCATCCGTCCATCCTGGCCAGCCGTGCTGACTATCATATTGGCAGGGCCGCTGCGTGAACAGATCGATCACTGGCGCGCGACGGGCAAGCAGCTCTCTCATGGGCGTGTTTCATACGAGACCGGAGAGATTGGCGCTCAAGGCACGGCCGTTCCCGGTGCCAAGCTAGTATCGTCTTATCATTAATCAAATCGAATACCCTAAGTAGCTGATGTGTCGTTGAAATAAGATGAATTATGATTACTTGTTGCTGTATAGCGACCCGTCTCAAGTTGGCAACTTGTATCTTTGTTGAGTGCGAAATAGAGGAGCTCAATCATTCAAACGATGAGGACTAATATGTTGGTACACCGGATGATCAAACGTACAGTGGGAGGGAATGCTATTCATATAGGCCCAGACTGGCTACTTGTCATGTATCATCATTTCCAGAACCGCTTCCTTACCAAACAATTTCTCGACATCTCTGATATGGTCATCAGCCAGCTTGTGCGCATTTAAGTTTTCAAACGCCATGCTCCATATTCGCCCTGCCTCGACAGAAGTCGTACCGGTAGCGCTGATCCTCCCCAGATGCTGCGCCAGCATCGGGTAGGCACTTATCCTCGCGAGGCCGTGTTCCCACGCGAAATCCTTGGGCAGCATATCACCCCTGCCAGCTCTCCCCGGTTTCGTTGTAGCCGCCATAAGGAAATCAGAGAGCGGTTGGGCATGTCGCCTATTGAAAACCAACGCCTGGCTGCAGCATCCGAACCACTCCTCGTAGACGCCCGGCGACGGGCCAAGGATGGAGGCTTTCCCGGATGCGAAGAAAAGCCACACGAAAAGCGGAACGGCGACGCCGCACGTGATTAGGATGAGCCAGCTGTCGATATGCCGCGCCAATGAGCGAGGCAGGAAGAATCGACGGGCCAATAGTAGGAATGCCAGCAGGGGGACGGCGACAGCGAGCGATATGATGTGAGCGTTGTTGCTTCGAAAGCCATAACCGCCTCCCCAGCCGGAGCTCCGCTCTTGGTTGAACATGCGTAAGTAGAGCCAGCTGTTTGGGCCGCCAGGCTCGACGCGTCCGGGTGCCGGGTCGTGACGCCTGGGGTCCTTCATCATCTCCTCGACGGCATGCAGGTTCTTCAAAGTCCGCGCGGCCCAGCCGTCTGCAAGAAGGATATCATCTTCGAATAATGCGATGTAGGGCGCCTCGGTCGTCTGGATACACTGGCGAAGTGCGTATGCGTAGTCGTGCAACGTTTTCCTCTCGATCATGCTCTTATCACTGCGATTACTAGACCACCGCTCAAGTAGAGCCGTTTGGCTGTCCCTGTCCTTGTCCGGGAGACTGTTCGGGTATGTCATGATGTCGTCGGCAATATCGGCCGCAGCCAGCCTAGCATAGCTCTTGTGCCGTGTCTCGGGGCTTGGTACGTCGGCGAAGAATAGCTTGAGATGGATGGCGGCCCGCTCGGCACGCGACATGTTGGCAAGGAACGAGCCTACGGCGGTTTCGACATATTGTCTCCCTTCCATGTCGCGTGCGATGGTCATGAAGACTGCGCACATCTCCGGCCGTGGCCCGGCCTTGGCCAGTCGTGAGAGGGTGGTGCTGGGGTCTGCCTCGAGCGCATCGAGGAACGCGTCGGTTTCGGCCTCTCGCGTGGTCGAGTAGAATCGGTCGAAGCCATGTTCTTCGGAAAAGAAGATGGACAAGGGGTCGCGATAGAAGTTGAGGTATCCGTACGTCGCGTAGAGGATCACGAAGGCGAAGAGGAGGACCAGGACTCGGAAACCAGGTTGGTGGAAGAGGTTCATGATGGACGAAAGGCGATAGTGGGCGATTGTCTCCTAGAAATCATCTCATTTTTCTTCTCCCCAACTCGGTTTCCAGTGGCCCTCTTTCGACGACACTGTGTTGTAGCCGGCCATCATTGATGCAGCAGGAGGCGTGGAACATGGAGGGACGACATACCGAAATGCAGACGAGACGGAGAGTTTAGATGGAGGACGGGGGTACCTTAGCTAGGCCAGAAGAAGGTAGGTCCAGCATCATGTACCACCTTTAAGCACAGCCTCAGGTACTATGTAGAGTGGAGTTATTGTCATGCATGACAGCATATTCACCTGCCTCCTAGCAAGATATATGGATAAATTACTGATATATCAAATGCCTAGATATTCAGCTATGTTAAGTAGAGTTTATTTACAGTTGTTGAATGTATTTCTTTCTACTGATGGCTAACACTTTAGTTGGCGCCATAGATTACTATAAGTTCTCTCATATTACTCCAGGCAGGTAGTACCTAACCTAGAAGATTAGAAGTTGGAATAGTTTAATCGATAGACGGTGAGCTTAGGTACATGGTAGTTATAGGACATGGCTTACAAAGTACTAATACAGTCTTTGCTTTAAAAGTTGCTCTTGTAAAGCCATAACATAATATTCTAGATAAACCAAATACTGTTCACTCACGGTTAAGTGCACCAGGTACTGTTCTGCCAGCAACTGTTATTTTGTATCCCTATACAAAGTATATATATAGTCACGTACAGCTGGACCCATTTGAATCTATTGAGGTTGCCCCAATTCTTTCCCTCCCGCTTATCCAGATTAGGTATAGCTCGGAGCAACTGCTAGCCACGGTGATCTCCATGCCCGCGACCCCTCCCCAGACTCAGGACTATGTTTCTTATTTGACAGTGCACTCCCCAACGAGCACGGTAGCTCACAGCCAGAGCAACTGTGCACTGATAGCTCAGCGGTAGAGCAATCGGCTGCAGTTTGAAAAGATACATCCGATAGTAAGGATTACCATTCACAACTCTTTCACAATCCAAGACTAACCATCCATCCAGGGTCCTCGGTTCAAATCCGGGTCAGTGCTTAAAACCCCACTTTTTTATCACTTACTCCCGAGTCCTGTCTTCTCTCGTCGGCTTCTTGAACCCTCTCTATTACGAAGTACATTATATATATATCTCTTGCAGTTTTCCCATTTTGTAGGAAGGTAGAGGGACCCTCCCCTATCTCTACGCAATGTTAAAACCATATATCACTCAGACGCCCCCTAAGAAGACGGATAATCTACTTTAGCCAAACCACTATACCCTGACAACAGGGGAGGAACATAGCTACGGGGCTACAGGAAGGGATTCGTCAAATATTTAGCAGAAAACACTGTAGAGTAAATCCTTTCAGAACACTGATATAGTAAACGAACTAGAAGGACAAAGACTGGGAAGACACCCTCCAGAGTCCCGTTACTCTATCCTGCATTTTCAGCACCAATATATGGACCTAACGTTGAAACGACTTGAGGCTAACAGATTACGCTTAGAGGAGTCTATTCAGAAATCACACATACACCTATTCAAACTGCCTGTCATCATGTCCCCTGACCCGGCTGCTAATTCCGGGGCCATTCAATTGAAGCAAGGCACCCCGCTTCATTATTTTTACCGACAGTTTACCGTCACGCCGGCGCCCGTCAAGGACGTCAGCCTTGAGGGCAAAACCGCCATCGTGACAGGGTCGAATACTGGCATCGGCCTCGCCACAAGTCGCCAGCTGCTTCAACTGGGACTCAGTCAGCTGATCCTTGCCGTTCGAAATGAGGAGAAGGGCAAGACGGCGGCGGCGAAGCTGACCACCGACTTGAATCTCAAGCCCGAGACCGTGCAAGTCTGGCGTCTCGACCTTTCGTCATATGACTCCGTCGCTGCCTTCGCCGACCGCGCCAAGAGTGATCTCGATCGCCTCGACATTGTGGTTCTCAATGCCGGCATGTGGTCTCCGCTCGCTCGCGTCTTTAATAGTCAAACCGGTCACGAAGAAGATATCCAGGTCAATTATCTATCTACCGCCCTTCTTATGATCCTCTTACTACCTATCGCGAAGACCAAGAGGGCGAATCAGCCGCAGCCTACCCACATAACCCTCGTATCATCCGAGGTGGCGGCCTTCACGAATTTCAAGGAGCGAAATCAGGTCCCTCTGCTCGCCGGCCTCGACGCGCCGGGCAAGGTCGACCCGCTTGATCGCATGTTCATCAGCAAGCTGCTCGGTCAGATCTTCCTGTCTAAGCTATGCGAGGTGGTGCCAGCGTCAGTGGCCTTGATAAATTGCGCCTCGCCCGGCGCTGTTCACGATACCGAGTTCACTCGAGAGGTCGATCACACCTTCTCAGGCGCCCTGCTTAAGATGATTCAGAGGCACGTCGCCAACAACTCAGACGTCGGCGCTCGCGTAATCAGCGACGCCGTCGTCAGCCGCGGGGAAGAGACCCATGGACAGTTCCTTTCCTTTCAGATGATCATATCGTTGAGTCACTTCGCCGATCCGCTATTCTCGTCAAGAGTACTAATCGTCTCATGCAGCATGGCACCTATGATCTACACTGAAGAAGGACAGAGAATCAAGGAGCAGCTTTGGAAAGAAACAATGGCTGAGTTCTCTTTTGTAAATGCTGAGCAGACTCTCAAGGATCTTGTTCAGTAATCACTCAGCGTTGAGGGGCGCGAAACTGATAGGTTATAAAAGGACGACTCGATTTCATTTGGCAATCAAGGGTCACTAATTTGCCTGCAATCAACTGACCTCTTAGAGGTGATCTGTACCCCCGTTGTACCTCACTTGCGGCGAAAATGAAAGCGGAAAAATTCCTGCCGGTCGCTAAACTGCGCGTCGTGATGAGCGGCAGCGGCCATTTGATTCTACCTACCTAGGCATAGTTCGCGGAGCCCATTTTATAAGACCCAACTGCAATCCTACAACGCGAGCCGACCCATACTTCCTTTCAGTACCTACAACGACATAGACGGGGTTCTTACCCTTCAGACAGTCTCTCACTACTTTTTGCCTCACTCCGTCCTTGACGAAGTTCCAACCAGTCTCTTGGGAAATTTGTTCAACTTCATTCCACTCCTCGACAGGGCCCGTAATAGCCCCTTCATCGCTTGTAGTTAAGCTGGATAGTATAATATCGCCTCCTTTTCGGTGAAAGCCCTTAAGTAACCTTTCAGGCTCAATATGAGTCCCGTGAGCGAGAATATCGATGGTGTTTTTGTCCCTTTTCACTACGATCGCTCCGACGGTGATAGAACTATGGTCGCACTCTGGGTATTCCCAAGTTCGAACTGCTGCATTGCCCCTTCCTATTGAGTCGGAGCCTCTTATGAAAGAACGCAATCTGCGTTGTATCTCCTCAACTACTTCACCCGTATTTCTCGTCGAGTTTTTGTTCCCATCCAGAAATCTCCACTTTTTAACTATCTCCTTGACACTTGAGTAATCGACATTTTCGGCGAAGGTGGTTAACTCGGTGTATGTGGCGGGTATGTGCGTTGCGCCAAAGCCAGAAAGTAGGCACCACTCGACAGATGGTGGCTATACGGCTCCTGGTCAGCAGGCTGGGGGCTCTCTAATGCTGGAGATGTAGATAACATGTGTTAAACTCACTTGTTTACCCCTTTCTGGAACATCAGCGAAGCAGCACAGAACCTTAACATCGTTATCCGAGAAGCGATCCTGTTTCTTAACGAGAGCGTGCGAGAAGTTAATTTGCCTCTGCGCCAAAATATCTATATCTTCCTTATATTTGTCCCAGTCCTGTTCCTCAGCCGTGCTAGCTTTTTCCTCAATCGTTCTCTTGTTGTGCGGTTCGCAGGCACACATGGAGGCCCATTGTTTCAACCCAGGTGGGAAATGCGGTGTACCGATTAAGATCACTCCACTTATGTGTGGTGAAGTTATATCGTTTGGTTGGCGCTCTCCTTTCTTACTTAAAAGCGTGGCCTGTACAGACAGGTTACTTAGTCATTATACTTTTTACATTTTGATATCACGGTGTAGTCTTAATGTGTGATGAAGTATAGAATCAACTTACTTGTTCGCTTATTAGCCCGCCATAGCCACACCCAACCAAGATAATCCGAGGTGTCTTATTATTGGGGTGTTGAATGGACTGGCGTATGGAGAGAAGTAGGTCTTGCGCATGAATTTCGAGTTTACGTGGATTAGGAAGTCTCCAACGCTCTTCGGAGGCTCAAGTTGGTATTCGAAGTTATAGATACCGGCATCGGCATGCATAGACCAGTCCGTGCGAGATAGCAGAATTTTCGGGTCTGTCTGACTCGGGGGCTTTAGATGATAATCAAGAACATAGACGAAGCTATCAAATACACTTCATTAGCTGTGGCAGGAGCCTGGGTAGACACGTCGAGAGTGTGATAGGAGTACATACTTAACAGCAGAATTCCCCGGACCGGCCTTTCGTAGTTCGATCATCGTCGTATTGTGTGACAAGGGTTATTATAAGGCTTGATAGGTGTATTCAACTAATAATTTCTAGTGCTCTCAAGATCCATGATTCCTTCTCCCTTGATCTGGAGGGGAATCCTCGGGCCTATTTATGAGCGATTAGCAAGTCACCTTGGTGGCTTACTTAGTGGCTTAGCCCTAGCTATTAAAGCTTGAAATCGCGCAAGCATCTAGAACAGGACATCCCTAAACAGCCTACTACTTTGCTACCTATTGTTGCGTTTTCTTCGTTCTTCGTTATTTCCTTGCATTAGGGAGGAAGGGTTGGAAGAGATGAAGGAAAGGACGATATCAGAGATAGTTAAGGACAGGACAGTAGAGAGATTAATGCAACGAGAGGATGTGGGAGATTTGGTCAATGATCTCAGTGGAAATCAAGGGGTTGGGGTATACGAAGTGCAAAGGATGCTGCAAAGGGGTATGCTGCAAAGGGGTATGCTGGATGATATGCTGATAAATCCCTTTTCACAAGGTCGTCATCGCCATCAAGTGGCCACGATCCTAGAACTTATTATGGTTGCACCTTGATGAAACAAATGACAACGTAATTAAATTAATTTAAAATTTATCTAAATCCTCTTCATTGAAAGTCTACAAGTACCCGGACTATGTCCGGTATTACCATATGGTCAAAATAAGCTCGTCGATCGACTGAGTGTTAAATTGGGTGCGAATGTCTTGTGTTGTTATTCTTTCAATTGAATTCATTTTTAGATAGCTTTTTCTGCACTGGCAGCTTGTCAGGGGCTTTAAAGCTTGATAGCTTACGAGTAATTAACGCGGGAACAATACAGGGTGGAAGGGATTGATATGCAGCATACTTTTCGTTCCGATTCCCCCTTGACGAGAAATCATCTAATGTCACCATTTCGTTAAACGTTCTCTCATAGTACATGAGGGCCCTACCCTCCCCGTCTTTGTGATCCGGTTATCCAAGCCCACAAGAGTAGTGTAGCTAACAAGATAGACGAGGCAATCGCCCAATATCCGAAAGTTGTACTAATCTGTGTGATATCGTCTGTCATGGAAAACAGGGTCCCAACCAGACTCAGGGGCACAAACAGTGTTGCCAGAAGTGTTAATCGCTCAACGCGTCTCGAGTCCAGGATGTTAATCGCCGAGGTGACGACGGTGGTGAGTCGATCAATCCGCTCTTCGTACTCCTCCATTTGCCTCAACACGACCTGGAACTCTTCCTTGTATGGGTCCAGCAGAGTCGTGCTCGTAGAGTCCAAGGATGTGGGGTTGAAGCTGAGCACCTTCGATTTCGTCTCAGAGAGCATCTCCCGATATAAAGGGACCAAGCGGCGCCACGTATGCAGCTTTTTCAGTATCGTGTCGATTTGAGTCTGCGTCAGGAATTCCTCGGGATGTGTGACTTCCCAGTCTACCTGGGAGAGCCGTGTCTTAATGTACTCGCTAAGGGTGAGCCACTCAGCACACACGAGACGAAGGAGAACCAAGAGGGGAATATAGGAAGGATGGACTGAATTAGGGGACGGTGAGCGGCCGATGAAAACATCTGTTCTTCGGGCCCAGTATACGAAGTCTTCAAAGAAAGACCCC